ATTTTCAAGTGTTCGTAAAGTCATATTCGAGTAGTCAATTGTAAATTGCCTTTAAGGTAGTTCCGGACCTTTGCTACTGCGCATCCATTTCGCGCATCTCATTTTTTTTACCCTTTTTTTGCTCTGTTTTGAAAATTGATTTCAATAATGTCAGAAGTTGAATCCTTTTCTATAACTTAACAAAGTATTTCGCTAATTCATGGAACTTTTGAGGCAAAAATGAAATGTTTTCAAAACATGCTTAGATTTTCATTGCCTGACTTAATCACTCTTTTGATTCAAAACAACAAATTCATAACTTTATAAAAATGAAGGGAAAAAAAATGAATTTGACATGTCATTCTCAAAATCAATTCGAAATACGTCTATATATATTCTATTATATATTCTCTGGAGATTACAAAGACGATTTGAGGTTTATGTACTATATATTCTTTGAATTTAGTGCGGAAAGAAAAAAATTCATAGTTAGAATTGTCATGAATTTTCAACATTTTTACAACTACACACGCATATAACTGCGCCGAATTACAAGCAATTTCGCTTCTATAATTTAATTTTCACGCCGCTTTTAAAAGATTGGATGGATTTTTTGTCAAGGTATGTTTCTTAGATTCAACAACTATCATTTAAAACAGTTTTCTGTTTTTCTTTGTTAAATCCAATCGAGTAATTCGAATTTATTGGCGGGGACAGATTTTCGGCAAAAACGCGCGGAAAACTGAAAAAATCACACCTTTTTGACGCCTTATATCTCGATAACCAATACAGGAACCCCCTTCTTTTTTTCATTATTTGAATACCCTAACAATGAACTTCAAATGACAGAATTTTTTAAAAAAATCATAGAACAATTTTGAAGATCCGGTCTACCTTAAGTAGAGAGATTCACAATTGCTGTAAAAAATGTTGAAATAAGGTTTTCATTATTATTATGAAAACCAAAACATATTTTTATTCTGCCGCCAGCGATGGTGATATTTTTTTATCGTTTAATATTCATTAATACAATAATATTTTATAACTTTTAGTGATTTTGAGCTTTCATTGTATGCGCGCACTAATCGATAAACAAAAACGTTTTTAAAAATAATATTATTATAAATAAAATTTTTAAGCTCACGTACACATGATTTATTCCCCAAGATTACAGGGTGCAGCTTGGTAAACATCTGTTTCTTTCATGCGCACTGGCTACCAGCCTAAAAAGGCAGGGAAATTGGCTCAAATTGTCCTTTGTATTTTTTAATACACGTAATAGATAACATTAACCAATCAGAAACAAACTCAGAAACAAACATTATGTAACATTAATGTTTTAACCAATCATGGAGCGACAATGTTTTGACAACCAATATATGAAACATTTCATTTAATAATCACTTTTATTTTAGTTTGGATTATTAAAGTCAAATCCTTGTCATATAGCTTTGTAAGGAAAGTATTGAGTAAAGGAAGCAAGTTTCCGCTTTAAAAAAAATGAATACCAAAGTCATAATAGCTGGATTGATCTTTGGAGTACCGATTATTCTCTTTGGTATTATTGGTAACTGTTTGGTGGTAATTGCCGTGTCAAAGAAACGATCTCTGCGATCGACAACGAACTATCTTCTCGTGAACCTAGCTATTTCTGATGTAACCTGCTTAATTTTCTCTTTAATGGCAGTGTTTGCTGAATATATCCCCTTGACGAGCGGTACACTGGCAGACATTATGTGCAAGTTTTTCTTATCTTACAATGTTCCTGCTATGGCAAGCATCGTATCTATACTAACACTGACTGTACTTGCTGTGGAGAGATACCACGCTGTTGTCAAGCCGATGAAAAGGTGGATGAGACTGAAAGCAAACACCATTAAGTATGCTTTCTGTGCAATTTGGCTGACTGGGATTCTCTTTACACTACCTATGTTCATTAACGGCTATTATAAGGAGACATCAAAGTCATGTCGACAATATTTATACTGGAATCGCTTGGGCTACCTTACCTATCAAGTCTCAATCATTGGTTCCGTCGTCTTCATTTCCTTTGCTGTGATAGTGGTATGCTACTTTCATATCGTTAGAAATTTATATTTCAGGAAGAAAAACGTTAATTTTGGAGAGCATTCAGTTGCAGAAAGACTTCGTAATCAACGCAAGCGCCATGTAGTTAAACTTTCTCTCTCAGTCACTTTAGTATTTGTTGTATTTCTTCTTCCTTTTGGAATTTTGATGATTCTGAAGTTCTTTAATGAACGAGCCTACCGAAGCTACTACGAAATAGCTGCCATTTTGTTTTTCTTAGAAGCTGGTATTAACCCATTTTTGTATGCTTTCCAAAGTACGAACTTTCGACAAGCGTTCAAACAAATATTGAAATGTTCTTAAATTTAACTTATAACGCCGATCTCAAGTGTTTTTTCTTCCAAAAGTCCGCTTCTCGATTGCTTCAGTTTTTAGTCTCTGTTTCGTCAGACCTAGTAATCACTTCACTTGAACGCAACAAATATCAAATTACATTTTTCGCAACCATCTTTTTATTGATTCAGACTACATCTTAGATATAATAAATAATAATAATAGATTCATTTGTAAAGCGCAAATTCAACATACGTTTTCAAATGCGCTACTAAAATCTATATTATATAAAAAACTATACACCGAATCGAAATATGGCGACCAATTTGAATAACTATTGTCCTGCACTGACAAGCGACTGACTAGCCTCGTGTTAACATGGAAACACAAAAGCATTTCCACATGTATAAGATGTCGCTAATCAATACATAACAATTGTATTCAAATTGGTCGCCATATTTCGATTCGGTGTATAGCCTATAAAATCAAACATATATCTATCAAAAATCTAAAATTACTAAAAATTATGAAAACAATAATAAATAGTGATAGTATTCAAATAGAAAATTCTATTTAACCTACTTAATGTTAAAACCTAC